TGGGGAGAGCTTGCCATGTAGACCCCAGCACTGTCTCCGACTCTGATTGAGTCTCAGGGAAGTCTTCTGACCCTTCTGCTCTTTACTTTCTTGATATGACATGGGGACATGCCATGATTTTAAGTGTGGGGTGGGAGACTTGCTCTGGGAGACTTGCTCTGATTGTGTGTTGTAATGTATATAGACGTTGTTTGTGTTGTAGCATTAGATTGATGTGTTGTATATATTTGAGTGTGCTTATATTAGGAGTAGCTGACTTGGCCCAACGACGGACACTTGTCGACGGGTCTCTTGAGGGTCAAAGTCGGAATTAATCTAAACTGAAAACAAGTTAGAGGACTCTTCCTGAAGACGGACCACTTGGACAGTAATCTTGAGGGAAGTAGTCCATGTAGAATATTTTTTTTTTTTATTTTTCTCTTCTAGGTAGTGTAGTACTTCCCCCTTGGTTTTTTTTTTGACCACGGTTCTTTTCCAAGGGCTTTTCTTGAACCGGGTTAGGTAGATTTTCCCTTTGTAGTTTTAGGACTAAGATGGGTGAAGGCTAGAATACAACCCCTGATGTGCACACCTGCAAATAACTAAAACGAACTTGAGAGTGTGACGTCTAGGCTCGCTTGTGGACTCGTAAATCTATGCCTTAATTTTGCACATCTTGTCTTGCTTGAATGCTCGTATGAGTGTGTTGATGAACTGATTCGGAATGAGTTGCATGCTAAGTGTGTGGGAGATATTACTTGCACTTTGTGCCTGCATGCGATACCTAGAACTTGCCCTGTGTGTTTGCAAAGCGCAATAGAAGTTGTTTGGTTTTAGAGATGATTGAGGCATTTCTTTGTGCAACCCTATATAATTGTGAATCCACCTGTATATATCGCCATAGTTAACCCCTTTGAGCCTGAAGTCTGTTCTTTGACAACCCTATAATGACCTAAATCTCTGTGTTTGAATAGCTTGATTGTTTGAACCTATACCTCCTAGAAGCGCTTGAATCACTAAAGAGCATATAAAAGTCAAAGTGTGGGGTAGTAGGGAGTTAGCGAAAAAAGGGGAATCAAGAATGAACTGTTTGATTGGTGCACAGGCAAAAAATAAAAAATAAAAAAAAAAAAACAAAATAAAGAAAAAAAAACCAGTTGCACCTAAAGAAAAGTGGGGGTCACACGTGAAACAAAAATGTGGAAGAACGATTGGGTTGAGCATGGAAATTGAAATAAAAGGGAGTGTGTATTAAAAGTGCTTAGGGAGGTTAGTCACTATATCCAAATATATCCTACCCGTCCCTTAGCCTACATTACAACCAAATGAAGACCTCTTGATCTTTGACTGAACAGCTCGATTAGTAGAGTATTACACTAGGGGCAAGCTTATGGTGTATCTGTGTGGCATGTGAATGCTCTTTGCTGAGAGTGAGTGAATTCTTTCTATCCTTAGTTCCTTATTGTTTGAATTTTATGTGTGGGGAACTTCTCTTAGACTTGTGATGTGAGGGCATGTGACTCGGGAAGAAAAGGTAAATCTTCACTTCTGTTAGAGTAGCTAGAGTGAACACGAGTGTGTCATGGCATGAGAGTCCGCATCTGAGGCATGATTGTTGCATTGCTTAGGTTGGTCCTTCGTAATGGCGAGTGTGACATAAATTGGGGTAATGTATCAAACGGTTAGGCCTAGAAATGTGGTTTAACTTGCTCGAGGACGAGCAAAGGTTTAAGTGTGGGGTGTTGATAATAGGTGAATTTAACTATAATCACGCCTTAAATAACCACCTTCTTGTATAGTTTTGATGATAAAAGTGATAACAAAATGCTCTTATTAGTGCTTTTCATGATTTGCAGGTGATATATGACCAGGGAAGGCTAGGGAGTACTTTTGGAGTCAAAAATGAAGAAAAAGATGCCAACTGTGAAATTCCCCAAGTAAACCACGCAAAACAGGCCTGAAGATTCAGAGACTGGGTTGACCGCGGTTCCACCGCGACCGCGGTGGAAGATAGCTGCGGATAAAATGAGATTCAGAGAAGACATTTGGCCGCGGTTTGACCGCGACCGCGGCAGAACCGCGGCGGAAGCAGAAAACTTCAGGGACTAAAGTGTAAAACACGGGATTTTTAGACCTAAACCCTATTTTAAATACAAGACTTCGCCCAAGAGAGGCATGTATTGAATTTTAGAGTATCTTGGCAAGGAAAACAATTGTGAGAGATCACCCAAAACATCTTTCTTCTTTTCTTTGATTTTTATTGCTAGTTATGATGAATTCTATCTTAGTTTGTTTTCCCATAGCCATGAGTAGCTAAATCCTTTGTCTAAGGCTTTGATGGAACCTATTGGGGGATGAACATCTTGTTTATGTGAATACAAATTGCTAGTTTCAATCTCTATTTGTTCAACTTTGTGCTTGTTGTAGTTAATTGACAGGATCCTCAATTAGCTGTGCCTATTTAGTGTGCATAACTTGGAAAAGAGTGCATATTTAGGTTATTGTTGAACAACACTACTCCCAAAGTATAAGAGGAATCTATAATTGCGGGTTTAAAGACGGGATTAGGGATATAGAAGCCTTGGGTGTAATCTAAAGTGAATTATGCGAAATAAAGTAAGCTAATGTATCTCGGGAGAGTGCAATTAGTATATTACTGTGATTACTCGGGAGAGATTTACGGTAAGATGAGCGTTCATGATTGATAGAGATGAGTTGGTAAATTTGTATGAGCATAAACATAAGGGATTCCTTCAATAGGGGAAATCATTGCCTTAGCTTCTTCTCATCATTGTTTACAACCTTAGCATCTTAGTTTACAGCTGTTTAATTTACTTGCAATCGTAGTTAGTAAAGCGACATCCAACTGTGATTCAAACATCTAGGAAACTGGTTCTGAAGAGTTTAGTGGGTCTAAAGATAGTGATTGATAGGTTAACTCTCTGTGGATTTGACCCTGGGCGTAATACTCGGGTTATATTTGCAACGTCCGCAGAGTCCTTTTTAGAGAGCATAGTTGGGCGTGATCAAATTTTTGGCGCCGTTGCCGGGGAGTTAACGGAATTATCAATTACCATTGATAGGCAAGTCAAAGTAGGTGACCCAGTTGGTCTAGCTAAACAATAATCCCTCCACCACTTCTTGGCGAAACCTGACAGACAAAATGCAGCAAAGTCGACCCCATTGGTCTCCACTATCCCCATGTTCCGTAAAACCTCGTAACAACTATCCAAATAATCCTGGGGATCCTCTGATGATGTACCACCATAGGTAGTAGTTAAAAGCTTGGTGAACCTGTCCAATCTCCACAAGGCATCAGAAGACATAGCTAATCCATCACCGGTCTGTGCTACAACACCCGGCGGGACTACCCCAACTAGCTGAGCTGCTAGAGTCTGAAACTGGGGAGCCATCTGCTCCGGAGTGTGAGTAGCGGGTATTTTGTGCTCCTCCCCCGAGCCTGAGAGATGGCTGGTCGCTACTGGAAGTATCGCCTGCCTGAGTAACACTCTCCGATAACGGCCCACGTACGACGGGAC